AACTCGCTATGCCCAGACATTTATTATTATTATCTCTTGCAATAATAATGTACTCACGCAGGCTGCAACTGTCTCCCCGAAAACCGTCTGTGCATTGACAAGTATATCCACTGGCATTAGCGGAACAAGTACCATTATTCAAACATGGGTTGGCGGGGTAGCACTTTAGATCTGAAAAAAAAACCATAATTGTATTCAGAGATCATTGTTAAGAGATTGATGGACTTTAAGCGAAATCACCATCCAGTTTTTTGGACTTGTTTTTCCACTCAAATCAGTATCCCTTCGAGGTGATTTTATGCACAATGTTACCCGTGGGTAGAATTATATCCTTATAATCATCAGTATGTGGATATTATCATGATTTATTTATTGATTTACATTATATTTACTTTTTTTAAATATTGGGTGAGAGGGCACTTTTATCAAATCATTATTACCCATGCCCCCTTTCTTCTTTATATTATACTCCAATCCCTGGAGGAGGGGAACAAGTACTCTGCCGTTTAAGTGGCACATTTATGTCCATAACGACACGCAAATCACAGTAAACCAACCCAAATATTTAAACTTACTGTGTTCACATCTTTTTCCTGTAAAGTCAGGTAGACACAAACAAACAGGCTCTGGACTGAGTAATGGATCAAAGCTTCCATACAGACTGTTTGGTCCGCAATAACCATGACCGTAGGGATTAAATACTGTGGGAAAACAGATATTGGAAGTTATTGGGAGAGTCTTGTTTGTTAACAAATAGCAAAAATGAAAGGCTTAGACAAGTAAAATAAAAAATGAATTATTTTGTAAAATGTCTAATCTAGAAAAAAAATAAGGTCGATTAAAATGAAGAAAAGCTGAGAAAACATTTATCTTTCAAGGCAAGATTTTTGTTTAAAAAACGTTAGAAAATAATTAAGTCGTTATACAACTGTTAAGCATCTACCACTAACTTGCAGTAATAACAATGCAAAATAATCAAAGAGTTTCACAACACTTAAGCAATTAGACAAATTCAAATTACTAGATTCGCAAGCTTGTCCTGTGTGCAATGGATCACAAACACAATAGAACGAGGTTGGGTCTGTGTCATTCTTGTAACAAATGCCCTTCCCACAAGGGTCTCTGCTGATGGTGCAGGGATCTGAAAAAAGAACAAAGACAATGCACTATGGGAAACTGTCAAAAGGACGGCCAAACATGCTTTAATTGAAATACATCCTGATAACTATTTTGCGAGAATTATCAAGGGCCAATGGCGGTCTGCAGCTCCCTTGTTGGGCCAACTACAAGACTCATTGAAATGGTTTGTCGATTCAATATCGGTGGCACTGGGTTTAGATGCGATGTCACTTGGGTGTGCCCTTGAGCGCTGGACAGTGTCGACCAGCAATGGCATATTTGTAATATCATGTATTTGGTATTCTTTGTATGTATGTGTTATGTGTGTTTAAATAACATATTTGTGTGTGTGTATGCTTGACGTAATGATCCAATTTTCCCTTTGGGGATAAATAATAGGCAATTCATTATAGTTATCTATTTATTCACCGCAAGCTGTATTTGAACAAGCTAGTTTTTATGATAAAAGTATGCTTGATCATTTAAATCATACTTTTAAAAAAGTATTAATTCAGAAAATAGCAGCACATATATGCGTTTGCTGTTATGACAAAAATTAAATATAATATACATTTCGACCTTGTCTTATATACATAAATCTAGGCAAAAATGAACTGCCATGGCTCAAGAAATGCAAAACTGCAAGGATATTTCCTGTTCGTCTAAAGCCCCCCATTAATACACTCATTTAAGGGATTATATCTAATGATATGGATTTATTGTACTTCAAGTCCAAATTTGTCAGTATTACTAATGTGCCGTTATTTTTCTCCATTTAATTGTTCTCTGTTGCAATGAACACTTGAGTTAAACTAAATGAAATCTAAATTCATTAAACATGGCACAAGTGGCTTCAAAGAGCATCAGGCGTTTGTGTAAAGCTCAAAGCCACACATCTATTTTCCCTTATTAGATAATAATGCTTACGAGGTCCGAACAGTTCCACAGACAGACACTCAACAGCAGACAGTCTGTAAAATACAATCAATACAATCAATTTGAAACAGGTCGAATCAGTTAATGGTGGCTTTTTAATTCCAGATAGAGATATCGGAAATTTTTTCTCATACTGTCTAAAACTCCATACTCGATTTATGTTGATGCCTTCTATTGTCGCATACAATGCAACAAAAGACCAGAGCTGGGATGTAGTACCCCATTCAGCCCAGGTCAGTGCTGACAGACAGCAGTTAACGAGTTGCCAATTTTCTGTGATTCTCCTTCAAAAGGAAAGATTCTGGATACCATTACAACACTTTATGGAATCTTATCAACTGCAGCTGCTCTAGAGGAATTACTCTTGTCTCTATACTAGGTAAGGTCTTCAACCGAATCATTCTGGAGGGAAGCAAGACTGCGAATGTTAGTGGAACATTCCGTGGAGTGGAAATCTCAGTTCATTTTCAACTTCCTTAACTATGAGAAGGTCTAGTGGTTAGGCTCTCAGACTTGCAAACGGAGGGTCGTGGGTTCGAATCCCACCAGGTGCCCGGCGTTGTGTCCTTGGGACAGGCACGTTACACGAAATTCCCCCACTTGACCCAAATGAGAATGAGTACCCAGTTATAGACAGTGAAATATCTTGTCAGTTTGTTAGTGTTTGAGCGCTTAATCGGCTGCTTGCATTGTATTCTTCCCGGGAAGCTGTGAATGTTTCTGAGTGTTATAGGGCCTGCTGGGGTAATCGTATAGTGTGAGGCGCATAGAACTGGCTGTCGAGCGAGGGGTATGTGCTATAAAACGATATTTATTTATTACTATATACAGAGCAAAATGGTAAAATATTCTCGGGTATCACGGAATCCAGCAGAAGTTAATGAACCTCACCAAGAGCATGCAGGAAAGGAAATAGCAAAAGTGTACAGTATGGCCCAATATTTGTACATTATGTCCAGCACACTGACAGCTTTCAAATCAAGACAGGTGTGTGAAAGGGATGTCTTCTATCACTTCCTTTCGTCTTCATTTTGGTGATCGATTGGCTGATGAAGGAAACCACCATACAGTGGAAGGCTCCATGGACACAGTTGGACTATATGGACTTTGTGGATGGCCAGGCACTTCTGTAGCACACCCAGGAACAGATTCAAGCATAGTTTTAAGCAACCTATCAGAAACTGTTGGGTTGAGGATCCACCCCGGGAAGTCAAAGGTCCTAAGGATAGATTCGCCACATAAAGAGCATGTCACTATAGAACAAATAATCTAAAAGACGCTGAATCCTCCTGCTATCTTGGGAATATAACTGATAAGAGAGGATGGAACAAGAGCAGCTGAAGCTAAGTGCCGCATGGGATCTCTTCCCAAACAAATCTGGGCGTTTCCAACTCAACCGTTAAGTCAGTATTGTTGTATGGATATAATATATATGGAAAGCATTTCAGATTTGCATAAACAGGATCCAAGATTTCTTGAGGAGGTGTCTGAGAAAGCTTCTCAGGATCAGATGGACAGACAGGGTCACCAAAGATGGAGTGTTAAGGAGAACAAGACACAGTCCGGTCGAAAATGAAAAGGGAAGAAGGCGGTAACGATGGATTGGACATACTCTCAAGATGTCAGGCAGCTGCATAAAAAGACAGTGTTGGATTGGAATCTACAGTGTAAGAGAACAAGGGGAAGACCACGTGGAACCCAGAGAAGAGTCAAAGAGAATGATGTACAGAAAATTGGGAAACATGGAATAATATCAAGAGACTAGCCTTGGATAGGGAAAGGCGAAAATAATAATTGTTTGTTCGTGGCCTATAACCGGATGCAGGCCAAGAAAGGCAGTGCTGCTGCTGTTGCTGCTGCTGCTGCTTCTGCTTGTGATGATGATGATGATGATGATGATGATGATGATGATGATGATGATGATGATGATGATGATGATGATGATCATGAAGATGTAGCTCCTTCATATGCCAACATTTTTATGGCAGAATTTTGGCGTAAAAAACATCGCCCCCCCCCCCCTTCCCAACCAACCCTTTTTGATCATGAGATACATGGACGACATTATCGCCCTACATGATGGTAATTCTCAACAAACGCTTCAATTTCTTTCGGACATCAACAGCGTCCATGACACTATCAAATTCACACACTCCAACCCCGGAAAGTCTACAGCTTTCCTCGACCTCTCCATCCACTTTCTCAATAACAACATTGAGACAGACCTACACCTCAAACCAACCGAATCTAAGCGCTACCCCCCCCCCTTCTTCCAACCACCCCAAACATATTTTCCGTTCGGTTGTTTACAGTGGTGGGCTCCGACTCCGACGCATTTGTTCCAGGGATGAATGGTTTAATGCTAGAATTACAGATTTCAGAGAAAACCTCCTGCGCAGTGGATACCAAAACAGTTTTATAACCCCCATCATAAACAAAGTGTGCAAACTCAGGCACAAGGATCTACTTAACTCCACAAACCTCATCAGAAAAGGCCATTCTTTGTCCCCACTCACCACTAAAAGCTGCCCAATGTCCACAACATCCACAACCAACACAAAGACATTTTACAAAAATCTGACAAGATGATGAAGTGCTTCCCTCAGCCCCCTTTAATCGCTCTCCGACAACCCCCCAACATCGGCAACCTTCTCATCCGTACGAAAGATACAACGCATCTTCATTCACCTCAAAACAACCTCTCACAAACCCCCCACAACCACCCTTGCAAGAAACCTAGGTGCAAAACATTACCTTACATGACAGAAACCAACCATGTAGAGGGACCTCTTTTCAAAAAAGTTCTTACAGATAACATCAACGGCGAAACTAAAAATGTAATCTACTTAATAACATGCAATATATGCTCTGCCCAATATGTAGGACAAACCACCACCACTCTTAGGGCCAGATTTAACAATCACAGGTACTCAGTACAAAACCACTCAGGCACCCCAGTCGGCCAACATTTCAATAGCCCTGGTCACAACGGAACCACTGACATGCAGCTTCAGGGTATAGAGATTGTTAAAAAACCTACAAAAGAAAATCTCAACCTTAGAGAATCTAAGTTGATGTGGAACCTGGGCTCACATCAAACCCTCTCTGGCCTCAATATTGATGAGCCCCATTTCAGAGAATAAAATTTACAACGTAACCACCCAAGCTGCTGCCCAACTTTTCCCCCCTTTACACTTACTGACTCCTCCCTCCCAACTGAGATCAACGAACTCCCCCCTCCCTCCCTTTCTCCCCAACCATGCACCTCTACTCTTTATCTGACTGCGTCTTTTAAAACCATGGCACTACAGTTTCACCCTACCCCCCCCCCAACCCCTGCATCTCCTTACAGCTTATCTCCCCACCCTCCGTTCTCTTTCCCGACATAGGACATTTCCCCTACTTGAGGACCACCCCCTGTTACTCCCTCATGCAGATGAAGTGGCTGATCGCCAGGATATTTTCTTTCAACGCCTACCCGGCGCTCTTTGCCTAAAGAGATCCTTCTACCTACCCC